ATTCATATTATCCTCCTCCACTTACTGCCTAAAACATATGAAAAGTCGTCAGATAAAGGATTCATCTCTTTCAGCCATGTGTCCTAATCACTGGGCTGAATATTCAGCCCTTTTAGGTTGTAAGCCTGATTTTTTGCTGCATGATTTCAGCAGGATAAGAGGGGAGTCCCCTATCCAAAGCCCTGTGGTTAAGGCACTTTCTGAGGAGGTGAGAAACATGGGTTTGAACTGACGAATACGTATCTTCTGCTTCCTTTCAAGAGCATGCTAATTACTAGACTGTGATATGAGAAGCAGACGGTGTTGCCACTATCAAATTAGTTACTCATTCTGAGTTTTAAAAGAAAGTGGCCACAGCCAAGTTTGAGAGCCCAGCCAGTGCTGGGTCACTGTGCTCATAGCCATACTGCCTCTAGCAGGAGAAGCAGCCAGGCTTCCTGGGTCCGGGTTTCAGTCTGGATGCAAGCTCGGTCAAGTGCCTGAGGCTGGGGAATACCCTGGGCAGGCAGGGGGGATGCAGACTCAAATGGGAGGTGGTTAGAGGGCATGGGCATCACTGGCTCTGATGGGAAGGCAGAGGGGGAGCCTTTTCTAGCCGTATTTCTGGAACTTAATTCTCCCTAAATGCTGAGATGTAAATGCAATATGTCACTATGAGAACTATTGAATATTTTGTCATGAGACCACTATCGAATTTGATAGCCACCGTATTCATCAGCTAGTGGAACAGATTTTCCCATCATTTCTGAATTTGAGTTTAGGTGAATGGGACTTCACTTGTGGTTAAAGGTTTGCATTTGTTTTTTTTTAAATGCTATATGTGTCTTGCTGGACTGGGACTTTCAACAGCGTTATTTTGTCTCCACAAGTCTCCTTCAAGATAAGGGATAAGGTTTTCTTGTATTCTGAAATGATGTGGCAGAAGGCAAAAAATAATCTTGTGACTCATTAGGAAATAAACAGAGACATAATTGCCATCTGTGTTTCAGTCCATTTAATCTTTTCTTTCTCCAGTCATGGAAAAAAGTTCATAAAAAAAGTTGAGGTCTGTTTTTGTGGTATTTTTGAGAGAAGCTGGCTTAAAAAAAATTAGAGAAAAGAAAGGGAAAAAAAAACCCAACCCAATGCTGGCTCTATACATTATCTTAGACAAAATGGATTAAATTTCTGACACCTTACTCATCAAAATCTGACCTTGATTTGACCCCATTGGCTTTTTACTGTTTGATGTTCTCAAACGATTTGGTGCCACTTTTCCTTAGTAGTGCAGTTAATTTTAAGTGTTAGATAGAGATCAATAGTCATAGCTTGAAATTGGCACCTTTGGAGGAAAAATATGTTGTGTGGCAGTAACATAGATTTGATAGTACTTCAGTTAAGAAAATGGTGTACTCTTTCATTATTGTTTTCAATGACAGTATCCAGAGTGTTACTTCATTCTCCTACCAAGCTTCTGACAGTCTCTTGTAATATCTTATCTATCAAAGAGTTTTCATTCCTCTCCTTTCATGCTTGGCTTCTGGAGTGGAACTTTATTTAAAAGGTCCCTGAAATTAGAAAGAATGACCATGGCACTTCTGCTATCAAGCTGGTCAGTAAGAAATAAACTCCCTTACTTCTACACTTGTGTCTGGCCTCCTGCTTGCCAACATCAAAATCTCATTTACTGTGCTGGCTGTACAATGGAAACTTAGATGTCAGGAGGAGGTAAGTGGCCTGTTGGATGAGGTCTAATCTTTTCATAGGTAGCTGGGTTTTGCCTATTAGCATTAAAAGGAAGAATGGGAATGCCATCCCTACCTTTGTCCATGTGAAAGTACCCTGTGCTTTGCTTTCAGCCCATTGCTGCAGTAAGAAGCGATCCTCTGTTTGCAGGGGATGGTTGTTCCCACACTACTGCTTGGAGTAGCTGCCCTGGAGTATGTAGCTGCTCTGGAGTACTGGGCTGAGAGTGAGACAGTCTCTAGGGCACAGGATTTGCCAGGACTGTGCTCCTAACTGCGAGGTCCTCCCTGTGGAGTTGTGATAAAGCTCTTCTTCAGGCTTGCAGCAATGCAGGTGCTAAACAGTTATAGGAGTTTTCATCATGCCGCTAAAATCTGGCCTCCAGTGCAAGTGGGCCCTTCCTGCTGTGAAGCTTTGGGTATCCCGACTAGTTTTAACCAAATCTGACAGGTGGTTGGAAATACCTTTTTGACCAAATTCAATGCATACATGGCAGTAGGGAAGAAAATGCAGATAAGCCCACAAGAGGAGAGGCTGTGGAGAAAGACACTTGGGAGAGAGATGTCATGAGAGTCTCAGGTACAGGGAAATATCAGCTATGGCTTGTGCCTTCTTCATACCAAGGAGTCCAGCCTTTGGACAAAGATGAATAGGGAACCTGACTGCAGCAGTCTGCTGTTCCTGGAGCTGTTTGGTTAATTTTCACATATTTCCTAGGAAAATCCTGAACATGTCTGTTCTATCAACTACTTGAATAGCATTCTCTGACTCCCCCAAAAACGTTTTCTTCAAAGATGAAGTAATTTGTTTGTCAGGTGTCTTCTGAAGAGTTTTTTAAATACCAAGTTCCAACAATTTCAGATGAGTGAAGCCTTTAGTTTCTGTTAGGCTGTTTACTTGAGAACAAGTGTCCAAGCTACAAATCATTTTTACACATTGGAAGCAAAGATTCCCATTTTAAAACCATATCAATTCTTACTCACTCTGTTCTCTAAATCATGATACCTAATCTTGTTGAGGAAGAGAGCACATAATATGTAAAGCAGTGGCTTAGATGTTATGCAGGATCTTTGGGTGGTGTAAGTAACTGGCAATCCAAGAAATTCAGCTGAGCACTGTCCGTTTACAGGCACTGCAGATCTGCTCCATGCTACTAGCAGTGATGCCATGACATTATCAGCTCTTTCTAGCCAGCAAACGGAACAATGCGAATACAGACTGCAGGGAAAATGAGAGGGCAACCAGGCCCTTTTCCCAAAGGATTCCTGCATGTTTGAGTAGGCACCTCAGCAGAGATGTCTCTGGATGGAAGCAGTTGTGGCAGGTGTGACATGATGCTATTCATGAGGAAATGAGAACTTCTGTCACAGGGACAGGCCTCTGAAAGTGGTTATATTTTCCTTGCTGCTTTCTTTACTATTCAATCTCTGGAGAGCATGTGCAGATAAAATGGGAAAGAAATATTTCTTTATGACTTTCTGGCTGTTTAGCAGAGGAGCAATGGCAGAGTGATAGGATAAACGTTGCTGAGAAGGGACATAATAGATACCCATGCTCTTTACCTGACAGCACCGCTGAGACCTGCAGATATGAAAGGGAGTTAGACCCTGTACTAAGAAACTTCATGTTTTCATTCTCTGATTCTGGTCTGGAAATACTTTGTGTATGGCCTTCCTGACATTTAGTGCCTCCTGAAGGTAATTGCATTTAGCATGCCTATGTTCTTCTAGCCAGAAATCCCAGCCTGCTGTTGGGAAGGCCTGGACTTATCAAAGCAGTGTTCTCCTGATGTGTGACCTGGGTTTAATCTGCAGCTGTCTGGAGAGGTTTTCCATGATGGGAATGCTGGGGGTGTACCGACACATCAACTTCTCAGATGTGTGGCTGGTTTTCATACATCATCTTATATAGGGAAGCCCTTAGGTATATGTGTACTCCAAGGGGAGGACTCAGAACTTAGGTTCCTTTCAAGGCTGTGTCTTCTCCCACAGTTTGTGGCAGACTCCTGATGTAATCAATGAGTTCCTCATAAATCATGAATTTCTCTCCTAGAGAAATCCTCAGTGGTGCTAAGTACAAGCAATTCGCATTAACTTCAACGGCAGCTGCAGGTGCTGAGTGTCCTGGTTATATCTGCGAGAGTCTGGCCCCAAGCCTCACCTCCTGCAAGGGAAGACCATACTGTCATTCCTTACTCTGCAGCCAGATGTTCCTATGTACTAGGTAGGTAGATCCAACCGCATTCAAATGCATGCTGTTCTCCTGGGCTGGGATTTGTTACTAGTGGAATAAAGTTACCACACTGCTTTAAATCCAGTTTAACAGCAGGAACAAAGATTTAGTAAAAACAAGCCTTTAATAAAACTTTGTTCATCTTAACTGCAATTTTTACCATCTCCTGAAAGTCGTTTAGGTAGGACAGCTTCTTCATGCACCCTCTGTGACTCAGCTGCGTCCCTGAGCAGCTGCTTTTCTTCCCAAGTTCAGTTTTAAACCTAAACCAAAGCTCAGGTCTTGCCTCCCAACAGCCATTCAGTGTGTTCTGAAAAGCAGTGTCCCTCTAGCTGTCATTGCTCCTCTTGTTTATGCTTTTTCTGACTGACAAGTTTCAGTGCCAATGTACATTACTCGTGAGTTATTCTAGCACAGCTCCAAAGCTGTGCCAGGGAGTTTTCCCACTTTATGGCACCAGCTGTACAGAAAGGTGTTTTAACAACCTGCTTTACTGCACATTTCGGTGATGTCATTGATTACTGAAGCAACATGTACACTTACATGCTTAAAAATTTCTTGCTCAGTCAGGACTGGTGCCCTTAATCTGCTCTGCATGCTGCAGTTCACCAGGAAGGCTGAATTTGATTCAGTAGGAACAAGACCAAACTCCAGACTGCTGAAGAAGTGAATGAAAGAGTAATCACTGGAAGACTTTGCAGATGAGATTTGATTGCCTTGATGAATCTGGGGATTCTGCAGGGATGGGACCTATGAGAAATTCCTGGCATGCTGCTACTTACATAAAATTGATATTAATAGCAAATTATTTTTAGAAGGGAAGCTGACATATTATAAAAGTGTCAAATGATAATGATATGGCAGATGGTATATGTAATGTGCAGTTGCATCCCAGATTGATAGGCACTTCTAAGTTTGTTAGAAATTTCAGGTACACCCCTACTGCATTTCAGTGTAGGCAAAATACCCAGCACTAGTTAAGTAAATGAACTGCAACAAGAATTGCAAATTCAAAAGAAATGTCTGATTTGCTTTATTACTAGGGACTACACATGTGCTGAAAGGACCAGGTCTGGTTTGTTAAAGCCAGATGTAGAAATGCTGCCTTCAGCTAACTCCATCCTCTGCAACTGCCTTCTGCAAGTGCCTTTCCTCCCTGCTGCCCATCTCCTATGAACCCTCTGATCTTTGCCCAGCTGGTGAGTGATCATCCTCTCACTTTTACCTCAAAGTGCCGACCCCCTCCGTACCTGAGATCAAAGCCTCCAAGTCTATCCAAATCTATAGTATTATTTGCCTATGCTTACCCATATTGGTGTGGCATGGTTGCATTCTTGGCATGACTGTACAGAAAAGAGTGTCTGAGTATTTGTGGATCTGGAAAGGACCATTTTTGTGAACACACAACCAGTATGCAGGGGATGAGTAAGAACAGCTACGCAGTCTTATAGAGAGCAGTATGCTGGGAGGCTAAAAGGTACCTATGATATTTTGGCTGAGCTGTTCTGGTCTAGGACCGTGTTTGTCTGAATTGTGGTGATAGCTGTTTTGAACAATGTCTTGCTATAACATCTTGGAGCTGATTGAAGCAATGGGATAAAAGAATGGATTGTGAAAAGCAGAGGAAATACTGGACTTAAGTGCTCCTAGGAATAATAAAATGTCTGTTCTGCAATATGTTCAGCTATGCATACAGAAACAATCTGTGGGGTTCCTTAGTTTTTTTCCAAGCTTTTATTAGGATGTTAGAAGTAAAATCTTGGCCATCTTGAAGATGGTGGGAAACTGCCTTTGCCTTTTTGGGTCAGGATTTCTCCCTTTTGTCTGTGCCTGCTGTACTTGGCAATTCACCAGAAACCCCACTGCAGCTAACCTAAGAAGGCAGAGAGGAGCAAGCTGCTAAACTGTACTTTCTAGACAAAATGGAGCATCCCCAGGCAGTGTTCTGGGGTTGATGTTGAATTTGGCCATCCTCAGTCCTTCCCCGTGCTGAGGGTCTCCTGAGCAAAGGAGTGGGAAGAGCTAACAGGAAACATAGGGGCTTGAAAATGGGGCTCAGAGATGGCAAGGAACTTGTGATAGGTCAGGGGCAGAGCTGGGAGGAGACCCTGTTGGCCTGACCACCTCTGATTGTGTAGCAGTCTACATGTGCAAAGAATTTAGATAATACTATAAGTAAGTAAAGTTTCATTGCTTTAGATGCATCCCAGAAGAAAGCAACTTCTACTCCAAAATCCTGACAAACAAACCATAAAAAAGCCCTCTCAATTTCCCAGAAATCTTGTTTATAATATGTATTAGTGCATAGAAAGTCTCCAAATTTAAGTGACAAATATTTGGCCCTGGAGTATGTGAAATTATGCCATTCCTCATTTTTGAGTGATGCACACCTGGACCAATTTGACCATGGGCACCTCTCCTCTGGTGTCTTAATTGTGAGTAGATAAATTATACTAACTATTCCTACTTAAATAATGTTTTTCTTCTTTTGACCTCAGAACAGTTTAAAGAGGTGATACTGCTTCAGCTCCATCATGGGCTGGGAATTTCTGTGCTGAGTTTTAGCCTCAGAGCAGTTACAACAACTTACAAGTGTCTCAAAGATCTTAAAACAATGCTACTGATCTCCAAATGATAGCCCCTTAGATATTATTACAGAAACTTTCTGGAAGTAGTGAGAACCAAAAGGGAGCAATTAATTCTTGGAGTAACCCCATTTACTCTAGCAGCTTGGCCCTGAGGGAGTAGGAGCACTTGATGTCTGACAGCAGCCCCAAATGTCAGTATTTCTCCCCTTGTTCATTTGCCTGCTTGCTGTGGTAGATTTCATGCCGTTATAAGCTGTTTATTTACAGCCTGATCAAAGTACTTAATGACAGGGTTAATTTCTACGTATAATAAAGAAGTCAAGACAGGAGACAGGTACTGTGTAATCGAATTTTTCATTTTGGAATTTGTTTCTCTTCATGTAGGGCTTAGCTTTGATTTTTATTACCATTAATGTCTGCATTTACTGTTTTCTAGTCTCTTAGATAAGCTAAACCTACTGTGGAAATAGTAGGGCACTGTATTGTTGCAACAGCTTCCATGAAAGTATGATGATAAAGTAAAAAGGGTCTATAACTTCTCTGCAGCAAGACCTTAAAAATGCATTTTGTTTTGGAGGACAGCTCCTAATAAAATTACACTGCTTAAATAGTCTACTGAGATGCTAATTCTCTTTTTATGACCCCATAGGTATGTGCACAGGCACGGATACTTAAGTATGTGTGTACATAGCCAGAGAAAGAGTCAAAGATAGTGCTAAAATACAAATTCTTATTGTTTATTAAGTGTGTGTCTTCAGCAAGACTTTGCAGACATAAATGAATCTCCACAGCATCCCTTTGAAAGAACTGATGGTGAAAAACTGGTTAATGGTACTCATTTCTTGAAAGGTGGAAATGAGACATGAAGCGTTAGATCTGCATTTGTCCTGCATAATTTGGTTTTCATTTTTAGATGCACTGAGAACTGTGAATATTCCTGGACATTCTAAAACCTAGGGGTACAGAAGTGATGGAGGACTTAGAAAATACGCTTCTTGCTGAGGTAGCCAACTTCAGGAATCGAGCTGGAAGTGGAGATGACATTAAACCTGGGCATATCCAGCTCACCCTGCATCCACCGAGTTTCTGTTTTTATAGTACTCTGTAAATTTTAGGAAAACAGGGACTTAAAAGCTCATGTGATGCTAAATTTTGTGAACCACTGTTAGCCAAGTTTCCTTATGGCTGAGGTAGAAATCTTTGTGAGGAAAGCGTGCACCTCTGTTAGCACCATTGTGCAAACTGTAGTTTGCAAATGTGGTGGGAGGCTTTGATCATGCTAATTTGGGCTCAGTCATGCACCTTCTTTTCCTCTTTTAACATGCAAATAGCAGCTGTGTCAGTCTCTGGGATGGCTGCTTGTTCCTTTAAGGGAGAGATTCCAGTTCATACCTTCAACCAGTGCATTTGTGCGTGGGCAGAGGTATAGCACAGTGGTACAGCTGCTGACAAGGGAAGAGCTGTGATGAAGGTTGGAACAAGTCAGTGGAATAGAGGAGTTCTGAAAGAAGATGCTGAGCTCTTCTGGTGTGTTTTCATTTATTTAAAAAAAAAGTGTGTGCGTGGGGGGGGGGGGGAAGCAGCTGAGAACTACACAAAATGATAATCCATGATCCTGCCCCCATGAAAGGGATTGCCAGAAGGATCCATTTCTTTCTTCTGAACCCAAGGGTCCAGGCAGCGGACCTGGGGCTGGAGCGGGTCAGCCGGGACAGTGGTGTGCTTACGTGCCGCTTGAAATCCCTGCCGTGGTGCCCAGGTGCTGAAGGAGCTGAGGTGGTGAGCTGTCCTGCTGGGAGCTGTGGCAGTGCCATGCTCATCCAGCTTCATTTCCATGGTATCACTTGGATGCCACTGAATTTACTGGCTGCACAGTGTAAGTATTGCACAACAAGGACCTGTTTAAAAGGGTGCTTAGTTTAAGGTGCAAGGATTTCCTGGAATTTGTAGCACAGAGTTTTCTGGAAGGTCACCTCAAAGAAATATGTCATCTCTGTGAAGTTCTCAGTTGAGTCCGTAGGCAGCTTGACACAAGGATTTTCAAAAGGTGACAACTCGCCTTTCAGAAAGCCTTGGCTCCTGTTTGTCTGTTCTCCCCTGAAAAGACTGTCTTGATGTGATGTCAGTACCACAGCAGGCTAGGACTCAATGTACATCTGTGGCTTTGTGTGCCCACGAACATCCTTGGAAGCTGTAACATAATAATATCTGTGAAACCTTCAGCTCCTCTGTGACCCGCTTTATAATCTTGAATATAATCCCTCTGTGTGTGTGCAAATGGCACAGAGAGTGGGGTAAGGGAAAGAAACACGTGGACATGTTTTAATCATAATGATGGAGTCAAAGTGATGCCATCCCCATACAGGGAAGGCCCTTTAATAACTCTAGCCTCTGCACTGCTCCATGGGCAAGCAAGGCTGTGACCTGTAGGGTTTTAATTGACTTCAAATTTGGCAACACTAAATTGAGTGGGTAATATGCTGTGACACAATAGGATTAAATGCTGGCCCTATTAATGGCAGTGGATTTTGGTACTGATTTTGAAGGTAGTTTAGGATTTCAGCTGAGGAAGGTGGCAACATCATGAGGAAATAATCTAGTTATTTCCTGTCAAACAGAGGACCCTCAGCAACATGGATGTTACAGAAAATGCTTTTCAAATAGAAATCTATCCTGTTGCAAAGGAACATCTTGAGCTATTGACCCTGCAAAGTAATACATACATATAGTCATTTCCTTGCTATTTAAAACTTCCTTGTAACCAGGTGGGTGGATCTGGTTATGCTGTACTCCGCCATAACAAAAATTTACCCAAAGCAATTTTTTGCCTGGCCTAAATTTTGCAAAAAATATCTGGTCTTTAATACCTTTGAGAAAGGGAGATATTTGCACCTGACATGTCTACACATTACTTAGAGCAGGTTATTGATCAGTCCTATATATGTTGCTTTCCAGTGGGAGGATGAGATAGAGACACCAATCCATTACTGCAGCTATCTAACACTGGAAAGCAATAGGACTAATGATACAGGTTTTCAATAGCTGATTTATATTATCCTGCAGTCAATAAAGCTCATGATTTTGCCACTGTATCGTTGAAAGCAATGCTCCCAAATGCTGGCAGGCCCCAAATCTGATCCTCTATAACAGCACAGCTCCTGTGCTACAAGCCGGTGAAAACAAAACCCCACTAGTCTTCCAGAGTATGATCAGGACAAGCTCTTTACTCACTGAGCTGTGGGTTCTCTGAACCCCAAGCTGATATGAGGCTCATTCTGGTGAGTGATTCCTGTTAAAGAGTAGCTATGGACTATACCAGCTGCTCTTGCACTACGTCACACGGAGGGAAAAAAGAAAGAGTTCTTTCTCTGGGCAAATCACTTAAAATCTCAGTTACTGCTAATTTGGTGGTGATTAACGAGAAATGTATGTCGGTGGCTACAAGTGAAAGGCAGTAACTGGCTCCCCTCCTCTTCCTTCTAGTAATGCAAGTACTTTGGGCACCACAGAGGAACTGCCCACAGAATCCAGCATTGTGCAGAGTTGAGGGAGAGAGTGGCAGCAGCAAGGAGCTACGTTTGCTGGAGAAAGCACTTGACAAGCCAAGTGAA